TGTTAAAAAACTGATTCTGACCGAGATTTTGACACTTAAACAAACATATCTCAGGCCTACTCGAACGACCGCATTGTGCGAGATGCGAAGTACAAAAACTAATCCCATTAGAGAGGGCGCACTTTATTGACTGTATCAAGTATACATAAAAGCGAGAGTATTCCAGCGGATGCATCTACAACCTCCGAATTTGCCTAGTAACGAATAATTCGTCGAGAAAATGGTAATATTCTATTCTATTTCTCATTTTTTTAAAATTCTTTTGCGTAAAACTAAAATTTATGCCAATATTTTCCCATGATTTATAATAATTGGAGTAATGCATACCGGTATGCATCTTTTATTTTTTTTTTTAAATCTGTTTTTAGTGAAATTTTGCCGGGAATGAGGCTTTAATTATCTGTCATTATTTTTTTTTTTTTTTTTTTGAAACGTCAGTAATTATTTTACACTATTTTCCTATAAAAGTATTGTTATTTTACTAGCTATAAACAAATTAATTCGTATTGATAGGTAAGAAAACATATATTATTATTATTAGTAGGTCTAGATATGCCTATATTGATGGAAATGTTACATACGTTTTCCGACTCCCGAGTCTCAGCTAGATTTGTACGCACAGTACAGTCTCACCAGTTGTCTATTAATAGTCGTATCATTATAATATATTAAAAATTAATTTGTATTATATTCGGCATTTAGGCTACTATCCAACAGAAAACGCAATTTCAGTGGGACGTGACGTACGAAGTTGCGTACCTGCGTACGTACCGGTACGTAAGTGTTAATAACAGAGTACGTGCAGACTGTTGGAGGTAACTTTAACCAATCAGAAGTGCGAGCCGCAAACCGAATTAAAACGCTCGGTAGTTTATCGTAGGCAGAGCGTAAACCGGTTACTCACTGCGTGCGACGGCGACGCGACGGAGAACGCACGCGAAGACGCGGACCCAACGGATCGTCTTTTTAAGTTTTCTTTGATATAAAAACCACCTTTCCCGTGGGTGTATTTTGGTAAACTTTTTGTATGTTGTAGAGATAAAATTTAACTATATACATTCATGGAAAAACGTTTTGTTGCAATTATGTCCAAATTTGGTGTTTCAAATCCGTATTTCTGGTGGACTAAAATTTTTTCTCGAGCAACTGCCAGTACAGTCAATGATGAAGATAATGATAATAATAATAATAATAATAATAATAATAATAATAATAATAATAATAATAATAATAATGAATTATTATTATTACAATACTATTGTATTAGTTTTATTTATATTATCACGATAATTATCATCTAGTTCATTGTTATTATTATTATTATTATTAATATAGTAATAATTCATTTGTTTATTAATTTTCGGAAATTAAAGTGACATAAAGAGAATCTAAACACATAACAATGAAGATGATGATGATGATGATGATGATGATGATAATAATAATAATAATAATAATAATAATAATGAATAATGGTAAAATATTATTAATACCATATTAATATTATAATTAATAAGATTAATTAATAATAATAATATTAGTAGTAATAATAATATTAGTAGTAGTAATAATAATGATAATAATAATAATAATAATAAGAATAATAATAATAATAATAATAATAATAATAATAATAATAATAATTTGATATGTCGTTTTCATATAAGGCTTTATGCCTTTACAAAACCTTTAAGCGCTTTGCATTACTACCCCGGTCATTGGATCAAACACATATGGAACACATTGAACACTAAAATTAAATTATTAAATTAAATTATATTATTATTCCATAATATTGTACCTAGTAATCAGCGCAGTTGTGTTGGAACCTACCTACCATATAAGTAATAATAATAATAATAATAATAATAATAATAATAATAATAATAATAATAATAATAATAAAATAATAATAATGATGATGATGATGATGACCTAGATGATGGTAATTATCATAATATAAATAAAATTTAAACTAATACAATATAGAAATAATTCATTCGTTTATTAATTTTGAAAATTAAATTGACATAAAGAAAATCTAAACATATTAGAAGGCCTAGACTAGACCCACCTTTTTTATTTACTTGTTTTATGTATCATTCAGGTATGCTTACAATAATAAGTAAGCGTGTTCGGACCCCTGGAACTCAGAATTCCGGAACGGAAGGTGCGCTGCAAAAGTGCACCCTCACCCAAAAAAATGTTTAAACTCTTCTTGTTTTCAAGTTCATCCATGCATAAGATTCGTCTGCGGTGTCGGTACACTTTGAAAGCTTATGAACGCAAATAAATTAAAGCATAAATGTAATCAATTATTGGTGTATAAAAAATCTACTAATTGCTGTATTTGATTTTTTTTTTTGGGAGTTATTTTTTTCAAAATTCGGGTGGATTTCACACACTTCGTTAGACCGGGATATAATGCATGTCAAATTCGAGAGACTCCGACTGGATCGGGAGATTTTTAACGTTTGGAACTGCATGGGTTCACAAAAAAAGTGGAGGAACCGGAAGGCTAGACGATGCCATGTTTCTAGCTTTGTTTACACTTACGTTAATACGTGAGTGGTACCTATGGTGTATTATACACATGCGTTTGCGCAAGCCATAAGCAGATAACTTCTGTTCACCCCACGCGGTAAGTATTTGGCACGCTTACCAAAACATCAAACACAATAGATATTTGGCGCCAGGAATGTCAAAAGTCGTTCAAAATTCCACTGTACACGATAGCTAAGTACTGTTACGCCAAATGCCACGAATGAATGGCACTTGCGTCATACGTGACCGTGAACAGATCTGTGTGCGGCAGGCTCCACGTGCTTTACTCCCTATTGTCGCCATAGCTACATACGTGAACATAGAACAGATTGTCGCGTTCACGCGCATCTTTGTGCCCGCGCGGCGCCCGTTACTTTAAGTGCGTAAAAAAAGAATTACTATTGTTTTTGACTAGATTTTTCATTAATGATTATCGTTGCTAGCCAATTTTACACGGCAAAACCTAGGTACTTGTAATGTCGTAAGCACCGAAGGTGAATTTAAAATTCTTAATATTAGGCCTAAATAAATGTGTATGGTTTTAGGGGTGGTGCCATTGGAGGAAAGGAGATGGGGCCTTCCCCCACCCCACACCTTGTCGAGGCTGGAGATATTATTAGTAATAGTAGTCTAGGGCCTAGACTCAGTAAAATCGTTTACGTAACTAACCCATTGAAACCCCTAATTTGCCAGCGATACGCTTAGTTTCCGGGGTTCAAGAGCATGGAGTTAAAGATAGAAATAGAAGAGCACATTGTAGGCTAGGCCTATATATGTCGAATGGTGAGTCGAATGGCCGAGCGGTTAGCAGGGGCGCCGCAAGCTATAGCCATAATATCGGCGCTGGTTCGAACGGCACGCTTGCCTATGGTTCTGGTGTTAGAACAAGTCTTCTCGGATAAGGATTATAAACCGTAGGCCCAGTGTATACAATGGCTCGTGTGCACTATAAAGAACCCTGTACATCCTTCGAGGCGAGTAGGGGGATACCCCGGTGTACTGGAACAGACAGCCCCTGTGGTGGACGACGAGAGTTGCTGGTACCGGGTTACCGGGTAGCACAGACACGAAGGGACCCTTAGGGGCGAAGGAAGTCATTGATCGAGTCACTAGTCCACATTTCAAGCGCCCTGAACATCTTACATTAGATGGATTTGTGCGCTATATAAAACTACACTATTATTATTATTATTATTATTATTATTATTATTATTATTATAAAAATAAAAATAAAATGATGGGAATGGTTCCACCATGAGCCTACCCATACCATACTACCAGGTCTAGTTTAGTTCGGCAGGGTTCGTTGCTCCCTCCACCGCGCGCACCCCTTATATAAGACACTGAGTACTGGAGGTACAACTCCATATTCATTATCCTCTTCTTTTCTCTCTCTCTCTCTCTCTTTTGTGGGTGTACCCATCTTTATTCATTTCACTTATACAGTACAAAAGTAAAACTATTAAAATAAAAGGCCATTATACTGTCTCTCTCAAAAAACAAAACACATAATCCTCTTCTTTATTCTTTTGTTTTAACTATTGTTCAAACTTTCTTCAAGTTTCTAGGTGTCAGTGGCAACATGCGAGTTCAGCGTTCCTAAAACACGTACTGTTACAGTATTACCACATGGACTGGCAATGGATAAAATACTCCTTTTTGCATTGTGTACAGTACTTTTGGTATCGTTTGCCTCCACCAGTATAGGTGATATCCTTACCACTCCAAGTAGCAGTGAGTCATTCAGTGAGTCGCTTTTTTTTGTTAAAATGGGCGTGAAAATTTCAGTTTAAAATAACATAATAATTCCTTAAATAAAATTTAAACAATTAATAAATCCGTGTATTATTAGTTAGTCAATGGTTCATTCAGTCACATTACAGGGCATTATTCACAGTTGCTAGATCTCGGGAATACTATTTTAGAATAAATCAAAAACAATAAAGTGATAATTGTGAATTGCCACAGGTATAAGTGGGCTTTATGGGCTATTATTATTATTTAGGCCACCCCCCCCCCCAAAAAAAAAAAAAAAAAAAAAAAAAAAAAAAAAAAAAAACATGCAGCATACAACTTTACAAATTTCATGTAGTTAGACAAACATTGATGCTTTCAAAAAGCATTACAGTGTGTTAGTATTGGGCGTCATAGGCAGTAAAGAGTTATTTAAAAATGAAAGTGTTTATTTTCTCAAAGGGTAGGTTTAATTTATCAAAACGTAGTTAGTATGATGACGATGATGACAATTCAATGATTACGATGATGATTATGATGTTGACGACGATAACTATTAGAAAGATGATAGTGAATGATGAATATTTGTTATAAACTAGGCCTATTAACATAGGATCTACATTATCATAACAGGTCCAGGAGACATTCGAGTAGTCGGCGCTTTTCATTCAAACCAAGGTGTTCTTCAAATTAACACTGGCAATACATGGCTGTGGTTTTGTGCCGATAGTTGGACTCTAGAAAATGCTGCTGTTGCCTGCCATCAGCTAGGATTTTCCTCGCTTGTAGCTATTAATCCAGAAATACATATCGGGCCCAGAACAGGAACTCATTTCAATGAAATTGAAGGTTTTACAGCACGCGCTTGCACTGGTCTTGAAGATCGATTAGATAACTGTCCATCGGCCAATGTAAATATGTGTAATACGATAGAAGATGCAGTTAAGATATACTGTAGTGCTGATTTGCCAGAGATAAGTACGTACAATGAGTATTTCAAGCTTTAATCTAAAATATTGTATACTGTAATTCATAATTCATAATTTTATTTCACTCAAAACTTGAACGTAAAGAGTCGGGCAGGCAAGAAAGGAACATGTTTCTGTACAAGATGCCTACCAGAAAAACAATTATAAACTTCAATAAAATAATGTAGTAATAATAATAATATTATTGAAGATAATAATAACAATAATAAAAATAACAATTATAATACTGTAATACAAATAATAATAATACACCTTAATATTTTTTTTAATAATCCTAGTAAAAGATAAACATCAACAATACCAAATTGTTATAAAATAAATATCAAACCAAAGCTAAATACTAATTCAGTACCTGAAGACAGATTCTAAAGCCGAATACACACTAGGCCTACTCCCGACGGTCGTTGCCAACGTGATTGTATAGTGAACGGACGCACAGACAATTACGGATTGTTTTAATTGACGATCCACTTATTGTTTGCCTTACGACTCTTTTGCTGCTCTTTCCTTTTGTGTTTTATGGTTGTAATCTGTTTATTTGTCTTTGTTGTTTGTGTGACTGTACTATTGTGATGCATTGGCTTCCTGAATAATGACTGAGTTTATGCCTACCATTGTTTTCCTGAAATATTGAGGCTTGGCTTGCGCTTCATAACCGCAAGGAAAAGGAGCAATATAAATACCCAGTACCAGTACCACTCAGTCGACCACCAAAAATCAGTGGACGGCGTCGCGTCGTGAAGTTTTCACAGAAAGCGTCCGATTTGCCCGATACCGTCGAGCGACGCAGTGTGTGCCCGGCTTACGCAAGTTTGCATTGCGGAATATGACAACGTTCAACTAGACATTATCTTCTTCCATTAGCCAATGCGAAAAAAGTCCATGTCTCTTTTCAATCAGTTATGAAATACGGTGTGCGGTAAGAATTGCCCCGGCAAAAATGGCCCATGAAAAAATGGCCCCTGAAAAATGGCCCGGTCAAAATGGCCCCAAATGACAGGTAGGTAAATTGGCCCCAATAATAAAATTCTGTATTAAAACTGATTTAAAAAAAATTATTATATGCATTTTTGAAACTGAAATAATTTAGTTTTTAAAAAAGGAATTTAACATCATATAAAATGCCATTTACTTTTTGCGGGAATTACATATTCAATGATAAAATATTCAAAAATAAAAAAAGCCATGAAAAACACTTTTTTTTCCATTTAAATGTTAAAAAATAGCAACAACATAATCAATAAATCAACATAAATCATTCATTTATTAATACTAAAATAATTTATTTGTGGCCAATATCACGGAAGCGGAATCACAATTTTCCAGAAATTCAATCTGGGTATTAGTAAACCCCACAAACAATGAGTTAATATAATATGAACATCAAATTATTATTATTTTTTTTTTTTTTTTGAAAATTTGAGAGTTCTACAATCATACTTAAAGGGTTTGGATGGGGTTCGCAGTGTGTTTGGAGGTTTGTGGTGTATTTGAAAGTATTTTTCACAAAAAAAAAATCAACATTTTAACCAAAAAATAGGTTCTTATGAATATTTAATTTTCTTATTAATATACCAAGTGAGTCATTCAAAGTTGAATTGTTTGATTTTTCTACAGTGTGTTCCGGGAGGTTTGTGGGATTTAGAAATATCATTTAATCCTACCATAATTACCCTACCCTCACAATTACTAAGTTTGTGAGAAAGTAA